CCAGTCCAGTTCAGTGTCCACAGTGTCCAGTTCAGTCCAGTTCAGTGTCCAGTTCAGTGTCCAGTTCTGTCCAGTTCTGTCCAGTTCAGTGTTCAGTTCAGTGTCCAGTTCAGTCCAGTCCAATGTCCAGTTCAGTCCAGTTCTGTCCAGTTCAGTCCAGTTCTGTCCAGTTCTGTCCAGTTCAGTGTCCAGTTCAGTGTCCAGTTCAGTGTCCGGTTCAGTCCAGTTCAGTGTCCAGTTCTGCCCAGTTCAGTCCAGTTCTGTGTCCAGTTCAGTGTCCGGTTCAGTCCAGTTCTGTCCAGTTCAGTGTCCAGTTCCGCCCAGTTCAGTGTCCAGTTCAGTGTCCAGTTCAGTGTCCAGTTCTGTGTTCCTCTGGACAGGAAAGACCTGGATCTCCTGGATCTGCAGGATCTCCTAGAGCTGCAGGATCTCCTGGATCTCCTGGATCTCCTGGATCTCCTGGATCTCCTGGATCTGCAGGATCTCCTGGAGCTGCAGGATCTCCTGGATCTCCTGGAGCTGCAGGATCTGCAGGATCTCCTGGATCTCCCGCAGGGCAGCACGGCTGGTGGCAGCACTGGATCATTCGTGTCACACAAAGGTGACAAATTCCCGAGAGAACGGAACTCTCCCGGTACCCCGAGAGCGCTGCCGGGGCCCGGAGCCGGTGGAGGGAGCGATAAGGACACTGGGGGTCACTGGGGGGCTCTGGGGGACACTGGGGTGTCCAGGAGTGACCCCAGGACTTGGGTTCAGGCTCCCAGGACACACCCAGGGGTCTCCTGGCCGGGGCTGCCCCCTCTCCCCAGGCTGAGCTCACTGTCCCTCCCCAGCCCCTCAGCAAAGAGAGTCCTCATGTCCCCGCATGTCCTCAGTGTCCCCTGGGGCCCCTCAGTGTCCCATCAGTGTCCCCCCATGTCCCCAGAGTCCCCTGGGGCCCCTCAGCATCCCCCTGTGTCCTTCAGTGTCCCCTCAGTGTCTCCTGAAAACCATCAGTGTCCCCTGGGGCCCCTCAGTGTCACCTCAGTGTCCCCCCATGTCCCCAATGTCCCCTGGGGCCCCTCAGCATCCCTTGGGGCCCCTCAGTGTCCCCTCAGTGTCCCCTCAGTGTCCCCCTTTGTCCCCAGTGTCCCCCAGCGCTCCCGGTGCTCTCTGCCCCCCATGTCCCCCCTGGCTGTCACCCTGGCCGTGCTGGCCGTGACCGCGGTCACCGCCGAGGTGCAGGAGGTGTCCCTGGACATGGCCGAGGACTCATTCGATGACCAGTACCGGGGCTGCCAGGACACCATCACCGCGGCCCTGCCGAACCTCAGCAGCGCCGAGTTCCAGAGGAACCCGCACCTGGCACAGGTGTGGGCCAAGGCCGCGGCCACCTGGTGGAAGTGGGGACCCCCCAAGAGCCACCTGTCCCCAGACCAGGCCATCGCCATCGTGGCCTACACCAGGAACGAGCTGTACGCGGAGTTCAACGCGGCGGTGCGCCGGGCCGGCAGCTCGGGGCTGTGGTACCACCGCGAGTTCCACTACAAAACTCTGCATTTCCTGCTGAGCGACGCCCTGGCCGCACTCCGGGAGCCGCGGTGCCGCTGCGTGTTCCGCGGCGTGGACGGGCGCAGGTTCCTCGCCCGGCCGGGACAGATCGTTCGCTTCGGTCAGTTCGCGTCCACGTCGCTGTGCCGGGGAGTGGCGCAGGGATTCG